GAGGGGAGAACGAGAGGAAGCAGGGGAGGAAATGAGGGGAAGAAGAGGGGAGAACGAGAGCAAGCAGGGGAGTAAATGAGGGGAAGAAGAGGGGAGAACGAGAGCAAGCAGGGGAGGAAATGAGGGGAAGAAGAGGGGAGAACGAGAGCAAGCAGGGGAGTAAATGAGGGGAAGAAGAGGGGAGAACGAGAGCAAGCAGGGGAGGAAATGAGGGGAAGAAGAGGGGAGAACGAGAGCAAGCAGGGGAGTAAATGAGGGGAAGAAGAGGGGAGAACGAGAGCAAGCAGGGGAGGAAATGAGGGGAAGAAGAGGGGAGAACGAGAGCAAGCAGGGGAGGAAATGAGGGGAAGAAGAGGGGAGAACGAGAGGAAGCAGGGGAGGAAATGAGGGGAAGAAGAGGGGAGAACGAGAGCAAGCAGGGGAGGAAATGAGGGGAAGAAGAGGGGAGAACGAGAGCAAGCAGGGGAGGAAATGAGGGGAAGAAGAGGGGAGAACGAGAGCAAGCAGGGGAGTAAATGAGGGGAAGAAGAGGGGAGAACGAGAGCAAGCAGGGGAGGAAATGAGGGGAAGAAGATGGGAGAACGAGAGCAAGCAGGGGAGTAAATGAGGGGAAGAAGAGGGGAGAACGAGAGCAAGCAGGGGAGGAAATGAGGGGAAGAAGAGGGGAGAACGAGAGCAAGCAGGGGAGTAAATGAGGGGAAGAAGAGGGGAGAACGAGAGCAAGCAGGGGAGTAAATGAGGGGAAGAAGAGGGGAGAACGAGAGCAAGCAGGGGAGGAAATGAGGGGAAGAAGAGGGGAGAACGAGAGCAAGCAGGGGAGTAAATGAGGGGAAGAAGAGGGGAGAACGAGAGCAAGCAGGGGAGTAAATGAGGGGAAGAAGAGGGGAGAACGAGAGCAAGCAGGGGAGGAAATGAGGGGAAGAAGAGGGGAGAACGAGAGCAAGCAGGGGAGGAAATGAGGGGAAGAAGAGGGGAGAACGAGAGCAAGCAGGGGAGGAAATGAGGGGAAGAAGAGGGGAGAACGAGAGGAAGCAGGGGAGTAAATGAGGGGAAGAAGAGGGGAGAACGAGAGCAAGCAGGGGAGGAAATGAGGGGAAGAAGAGGGGAGAACGAGAGGAAGCAGGGGAGGAAATGAGGGGAAGAAGAGGGGAGAACGAGAGGAAGCAGGGGAGTAAATGAGGGGAAGAAGAGGGGAGAACGAGAGCAAGCAGGGGAGGAAATGAGGGGAAGAAGAGGGGAGAACGAGAGCAAGCAGGGGAGTAAATGAGGGGAAGAAGAGGGGAGAACGCGAGCAAGCAGGGGAGTAAATGAGGGGAAGAAGAGGGGAGAACGAGAGCAAGCAGGGGAGGAAATGAGGGGAAGAAGAGGGGAGAACGAGAGCAAGCAGGGGAGTAAATGAGGGGAAGAAGAGGGGAGAACGCGAGCAAGCAGGGGAGTAAATGAGGGGAAGAAGAGGGGAGAACGAGAGCAAGCAGGGGAGGAAATGAGGGGAAGAAGAGGGGAGAACGAGAGCAAGCAGGGGAGGAAATGAGGGGAAGAAGAGGGGAGAACGAGAGCAAGCAGGGGAGGAAATGAGGGGAAGAAGAGGGGAGAACGAGAGCAAGCAGGGGAGGAAATGAGGGGAAGAAGAGGGGAGAACGAGAGCAAGCAGGGGAGGAAATGAGGGGAAGAAGAGGGGAGAACGAGAGCAAGCAGGGGAGTAAATGAGGGGAAGAAGAGGGGAGAACGAGAGCAAGCAGGGGAGTAAATGAGGGGAAGAAGAGGGGAGAACGAGAGGAAGCAGGGGAGGAAATGAGGGGAAGAAGAGGGGAGAACGAGAGCAAGCAGGGAGGAAATGAGGGGAAGAAGAGGGGAGAACGAGAGCAAGCAGGGGAGGAAATGAGGGGAAGAAGAGGGGAGAACGAGAGCAAGCAAGGGGATTAAATGAAGGGAAGCTGAGGGGGGAATGAGGGGAAGCAGACGGGGAGTGAGGGGAAGAAGAGGGAAAAATAAGGGGAAGGTAACAAGAACGAATGGAAGGGGCAGGGAAGCAAGGGCAAGTGATGGGCAGGTGGGAGAAGGGCAGCGGGAGTGGAGGTGCAAGGGGGGGCAGCGTGACGAGGGTGCTGGCACGCTGATGGCAGGGGAGGCGCGGCGATCGGAGGCGCGGCGCAGCGAGCGGAGGCCCGGCGCGGCGAGCGGAGGCGCGGCGATGTGAACGGAGGCGCGGCGAGGCGAGCGGGGGCGCGGCGCGGCGAGCGGAGGCGCGGCATGGCGAGCGGAGGCTTGTCGCGGCGAGCGGAGGCGCGGCGAGGCGAGCAGAGGCGCGACGAGGGGAGGAGCTCGATGAGGGAAGGGGAGGAGCCACTCAGAGGTGCGTGGGAAGGCGTGGTGAGGTGGCTTCACTCACCCTCGCGACCACAATGCGTTCCTACGTATTTCATGCTGCGAAGCGCTGTCGTAATGATTTCTTCTCGAAAATTACTCAGATAGATTAGTGAGGTTGGGCTTGTTCACTTGATTTTCCCTCAGCTGGTTGGGTTGGTTTGTCGCACGCTCCAACCGATGTTGAGTGACGAATGCAGAATTTCCTCGTTGCCTGATCTCGCTTTCGCCACGCCCATATTCTCGAGATGAATATTTTTGGCTTTCGTCAATACGTTTAAAGCCCTTCCGAGATTGTGGCAAAAACCATGTGATACTCGGGCTTTAACCTTAACCTTAACCCATTCTTCCTGTACACGTGCCCCTCTCGAATCCCGCAAATCCGCTGCTCACCCGTGCGAGTTTGCTGCTTGTTCGTCCGTGCGAACAGCTGCTGCTTGTTTTTCCTTTCCAGCAGCATCATTCGTCTGGTATCCTGCATGTGGGCGTTTGCATCCGAGCTGTACCGCACAGCACCACTTCGAGTTGATTCCCCCATGACAAGATTTGAAGTTTTGACTTCCAGGACAAATTTCATTTTGGTGTCCCCAACCGAAACCTTCTTTCTCACACAAGCCGCCTTATTTGGTTTGGACGGATCTCTTTTCTGCACTAGTACAGAAACTTATTTTAGCTGACACCTTATCTGCGATGATAGGCGCTGCACCGTCCAGACGGCTGCTCCACTTGCATCGACTGCCGCAACCGGTGCGCTGGAAGCGTCATCGATGCTCATTTGCGGAGCAGCAGCACCAGCAGTCTGCCGAGGAACACCCAGAGCGAAATTTGAGGCGTCGAAGAATTAGTCGAGCAGCAGCCATGGCCATTTGTTTCGCTCCAACTTCTCTTGTCAAGCTCTTGAAGCATCAGAGGGTGAAGGCACGTTTTAGACGGAAAGCGATTGACGAGGACGACGTTACTAAACACTATTCCGGCGCGCAGCGAGTAGTGATTGTAGCGTCCGTCGCCGCACTGTGCTCGTCAAGCAACCAACCCCGAGCCTGCTTTTGGACAAGCGCTTCGGACCGAAATCCGTCTCACCGCGGCGCTACCTCGGCGCCAGTTGCGCGTTTGTCCGTTTTTGCGAGACGTATCGTCGTTATCGTTAGCTATCATCGCTCCCGCGCCGCGTAATCATACGTGTACAGTACCCCGCCTAAAGAACGACCACGCGAATCGCGTCTCTGGTCAACGGAAAGCGTGCGTTGCCGCCGCTTTACTGGTCCGCACCTGGAACGTACTACTTCAGTGCTACCACTGGCGCTAGTAGTAGTCCTGATAGAGCCCGGCGCTCGTTCGATTGGAACCCTCAGTTTGGTCTACTCCCCTCCCCTCCCAGGCTTTCCTCGATTCTGATATCTTGGGTTGAGACGTACAATCAAGGTTGGAGAGTAGTATTTCTTCCAATCTTTCCTCTTTTCTTGGTTCCTGTCCATACCTGTGCCGGACGACCTCGTCTTTCCTTTTTTTTTGGCCCGTTCCAGTGGCTTCACTACCCATTTCGACCCATCTCAACCGGTCTCGCGACCCTTTTTTTCGCCACGTAGCCTGTGGAGTTAATCTTTCCGACCCTAACGCGTCCCGGGGAAGTCCTGACGCGTGACCCTTCTGCTCATACGGAGTTGACTAATAGCGGCGGCGGCGGCGCTTACTGCGGCGACAGCCGGTATCCTTCCAAGAAGCAGCTCGGCCAGCCCTCGTTCTTCACACTTTTCCCGCCGCGCTACCGTACGACAGCCGCGGAGGAGCCTCATTAGCAGCCGCACCAGCATTGTTTTGCACTCGTTACGATTCACGGTCGAGCCATGGCGGAATTCGCGGCTCGTCACAATCGTCTGCTCGTAAAGGCTCGCTGCGCTACTTTTACCGCCGCGCCGCGGCCTGAAGCCGTTCTCCGCGTCGTCCGCCTCTCGCTGCTCCTCCTCCTAGCACTATCATCAGCCTCCCTCATTCCCTCGTCTGCGGCTGCAGCGCCGGCGGCGGCGGCGGCGGCGGCGGTCCCCGTGCTCACAGTGCCGATGAACGCGTCCGCGGGTGAGGCACTGCCGCATTCGCTGCTGCATCTTGGGATGCCGTCCGCTCTCTCTCTCTCTCTCTCTCTCTCTCTCTCTCTCTCTCTCTCTCTCTCTCTCTCTCTCTCTCTCTCTCTCTCTCTCTCTCTCTCTCTCTCTCGCTCGCTCGCTCTCTCTCTCTCTCGGGTTCTCGCCCGTCCACTGCTTCCCTTCTCCTTACGCTCATGCCTGTGCGTCCCCCGTCTCCTTCCCTCCCCTCCCCCTTCTTTCCCCTGTTCCCTTCTTGTTTCTCTCCCTTCCCCCAGTGCCTGTGCTGCTGCAGCTGCAGAACACTCTCGAGCTCGTACAGTACAACTGGGCGGGCGCGGGGGACTGCGCGCTCGCCGCGGAGCGGGGGGAGGCGGAAACCGGGGGAGAACCGGGGGTAGAGGCCGCAGCGGCATCGGCGGTGGCGGGGGGGCGGTGGGTGGGGCGGGGGAGCCGTTGTTTCCCCTGCGGGGGAAGGCTGCGGGGGGGGGAGTGGGGCGCGCAGGGTGGGCGGGTTGGGCGGGGGTGGCGTGTGACGCGCGGGGGAACCCCGTCCGCATGGAGTTCCCCCGGCAGGGCCTCACGGGCCATCTGCCTCTTGACGTCTCCAAGCTCACCTCACTCACTAAGATGTATGTAAGCTCGGAGCGTGCTGTGCTGACGTCACCTGGGAGATGCCTGAAGCGTGTGCACAGCGATTGGTGCTTAAGTTTCCTACCCCCTTGCGATCGTGAGCTGACGTGCACCCGTTGCTGTGTTTGAGTTGCGTAGCTGGCGCGTTCGAGCTCATGCTTTGAATCTGCCTGTCTTTTTAGGTGTTTCTTCGGTGTCTTTCTGACTGTAACGATTTCTTTCTTGAGAATTATATTTCCGTGCAGCTCGCAATTCGTTTCTCGCCTGCTCTGTCGTGCTTCCCCTCTGTTCCTTGCGTGGTTCCCTGCCTGCAGTGACCTGCAGCGAAACCTCATTATAGAGCGACTCGACGTCTTCATCGAGCCACTTGAGGGACTAACCAACTTACAGTACTTGTACGTTGTAAATTCCTGCTCCGACCTTCCGTTCCATCTTTGTTTTAATTTCAACGCTGCTGTACTCCTGTCAACTGCGCTCCGTGCCTCTCAAACGCCCTTCCGTACAAATTTCCCCCTCTTTTTGAAGAGTCTGCAGAGACCTGTCTTCGAATCTCCTCTTCTTGTTCACTTTTGTCTTTCTCTTTCTTCCAAGAATCATCTCTCTGTTCCACTTGCGCCCTCCTGTGTCCCGTCTGTCTGCAGAGGCCTCCATTCCTAATCCCTCTTCATCCTCACTTTCTTCTCCCCCTCGTTCCTCCAACAAACCTTCTCCCTGTTCTGCCTGCATGCCCTCTGTGTCATCTCATCTCATCTCATCTCTGCAGGGACCTCTCTTCCAATTTCCTTTTCGGCAGCATCCAGCCGTCCGTCACCGCTGCCTTTCCACGCCTCACAGCACTGTGAGTCTTCCTATCAATAATAATGCTGATCTGGAATGTTCTTAAAGCGCCCGTGTTTCATCCACCTCCTGTTATTCCCCGTTCAAGCGCCCTTCTTTTTTCTCTCAGAGAGCCACTTCGATCCGTTCCCTCATCCCTTCTCCGGTTCCCTGTTCGTCCTCCTGCTCCCCATCCTTTTCCCCCGTGATCCCCTCTCAGACTGCTGTCAAGCAACCGCCTCACGGGCCGAATCCCGTCGCGCCTCCCTCCTCTCCTCTCCCTCCTCTCCCTCTCCTCCAACTACCTCACAGGTCCCCTTCCCCGCACCCCCTTCCTCTCCTCCTCCCCCGCCTCCTTCTCCGTCAATTGCTTCACCCAACAAGACCTCGCCTCCTGCCTCGTCTCCCGAACCAGCTTAGCAGGCTCAGCTGCGCCGGGCCTGGCGTCTCTTGTGGAGCAGCAGCGGCCGGAGCAGCAGTGTGGGGAGGCGCTGTGTGGGGGGATGAGCGAGGGGGAGTACTGTGAGGGGAGGGGAGTGTGCCGCCCGATGATCCTCAGTCCAGCACTCAAGTATAGCGATTTGATGCCGTGGATGTGTGCTTGCCACGATGGGGAAGTGGGGCGATGCGGTGAGTCTCTTCTTTCTTCTTTCCCATTGTTTGTTTCTTCTCGTTCTCCCTTTTCTCTTTTAGTTCTTGATTAGCTTTATGGTTGCTATCATCTGAATGTTCGGCCTTGTCCAGTCATGTTGCTCTTTTTGTAATATTATATATATATATATATATACTTTTTATTTTCCATTGACTTTCCGGATACTTTGTTCTCAGCTATGGCCATCTGCCCGGTTTGTCATTGTCCATCTCCATCCACATTTATTTTTCCACCGCACTTAGCTATCAGCATGCAACATGCAACATGTTTCCCGTTACTCCCATCGCCTTGCTGGTATTATTGCTGGTGCCTGGACCGACCCTTTTCTCTCGCCCATTTTCTTGCCTCGCCCGCCCCCCTTTTCCCCTCTCCCCTCCCTTATCCTCCTCCCAGGTCCCCAGTTGCTCCGGAAGCGCTGCCCATCCATCTCCCCCTGCCCGAAGCACGCAGTGTGCATCCCCTTCGTGCCTTCCCCACTCGGTTACCAGTGCCAATGCACCCACCCCTGCTACAGTGTCCCTGCGCGTGACAATGAAGGGCAGCTTGTGGAGTGCAGACCAAAATCAGGGGCCCCAGAGTGTGCTTATGTTGAGAAGAGGGTTGAGGGGGAGGAGGATATGGATGGGCTGGATGTGGAATAAAGGATCACCAAATTTTTGTCGTTCAAGCGGCAATTAGTTTGTGATTCTGAATGATAGAAAAGGCACTGAATGGAGTTTCTTTACCGTATTTGCCGCTCGATTAGTTTGTTTTCCCGTGTGCAGCTGTAAGGCTTTACTATATATGTACATAAGCCTAGAACATGGGTTAGATTCACGTTGAAATGTAATACTTGCAGCGCCAATACATATTTCCCGGCTTTTACCCTAGGTAGCCGGTCCAAAAACCATCTTCCCCTCACAAGTATCGTTCCCAGCTTTTGCATAGGTGTCTTTAATTGCACCTTGTTTTACAGCTGAACTTTTCCTGCAGAGGTTATGTTCCAAAATCTAGCTGCGCTCTTCGTAATTTCAAATCGGAGCGCGCAATAACGTGAAGCTCAGTTCAAAGTCCGACAGACGAGGGTTTGGTGGTTCATTTTCAGGACTCGCTCTCCTGTTTGCCTTCCTTTGGAGGTAGTATTGGAGGTTTAGCCTGATCGATTAATCTATTCCTGATCATAGTCGTTTCAACCTTGACAAGCATCGTTGTCAAAAGAAGTCTGGTGAGTTCTATACGCATTTTTAGCTTGCGTGTTTTGTCACCGTTCGCTAGCGTTTAGCTTAAAGATGCCTAATGATGGAGTTAGGTGATCGGGATGCCTGATGCCTAAAGATGCCTAAAGTTATGTTGTTTTTAGCAGGTGGCGTTTGTGTGATCGGGAACCATGGCGCGGGTTTACGTTGGTAATTTGGATCCTCGGGCCACTGAACGAGAGCTTGAAGACGAGTTCCGAAGCTATGGCGTTCTAAGAAGGTGCCTAATCATATAATGGAATCACCGCGTCACTATATTTATTGCCGTCAATTCGCTGAGTCGATTCTTGACTATTTCTGACACTACTACCGTTTACGTGCAGTGTCTGGGTCGCGAGAAAGCCACCTGGCTTCGCGTTTATCGAGTTCGACGATCACAGAGATGCTCAAGACGCTATTAGAGCTCTTAACGGTAAGAAGAGCTTGTTAACAGTTAATTAATTTGGGTATTTTAGTAATATTTGTAAATTATGGTTAAGTTGATAGTTTCTCGTATGATCTCAAGATCTATTATGTGTTAATGTGGTATCAGGCAAGCAAGGCTGGCGTGTTGAGCTTTCACGTGCCTCCGGCGGAGGCGGAGGTGGTCCAGTGCCTGTGCGAAGGGGAGGCGACGACATGCGTTGCTACGAGTGCGGCGAACCCGGTCACTTCGCCCGCGAGTGTCGCATGCGTCTTGGAGGAGGAGCGCGCGGCCGCAGCCCTCCGCGCTACCGCCGAAGCCCGGATTACGGTCGCGAGAGGTGAGGTTCACGTTTTGTTCTAGCGTTCTTTGTTCACTATTTGATTCACGCTCGATTTGTGTTTATTCCGTGTTTCCGTTCTTTGTTTTTCTTATTTTCTCCCTTTCATCTCGCTGATTTTGGTGTGCTATTCCCGTCTTTCGTTATCAACATATAGGGCTTGCTCCTTGCACTAACGCTTTTTCGCCACCTTTTTTCCGCGATCCGTTCTCATTTTGAGTGTCGTTTGATCATGTTTTGTTTCCTTCCTCCCCGCATCAGGGACGATTCCCCCCGGCGTAGGAGTCCGTCTCCCCGCCGCCGGAGCCCCTCCCCCGGTCGTCGCCGGAGCCCCTCCCCCGGCCGCCGCCGGAGCCCTTCCCCGGACAGGCGCCGCGGAAGCCGATCTCCCCCGCGCGTCCGCAGCCCGGCTCCTGGGTCCCCGCGCCGTGACGAGTGAGTGTTCGCGTGCTTTGGAGCCTTCAATTGCGGCCACCATTACTCCCTCCTTATTTCCCTTTGCCCCGTCCATTCGTTCTTCCTCGCTGAACCTTTTTCTATTTCCTTCTCCCACCCCTCCTCCCCTCCCCCCCTTGCTCCCCACCCTTCGCTACTATCCCCCTTCCAACTCGTGTCCACCGTTTAACCCCCTGCACAATCGTCCCGCCCCTCACCCTTCCACTCTCCTTTGTACTCTCCATATCTACCTGCCACCTGGGTTTTATTGTGATTCTCTCTCTCTCTCTCTCTCTCTCTCTCTCTCTCTCTCTCTCTCTCTCTCTCTCTCTCTCTCTCTCTCTCTCTCTCTCTCTCTCTCACTCTCTCTCTCACTCTTAGCTCGCCTGACGCCAAGTGATGACGCCCCTCTGCGTGTCCCTCAGGCGGAGCCCCTCTCCTCGCCGCCGCCGGAGCCGCAGCCGCAGCTAGGCAATGGGGGCACCAGCGGACGCGCTTCCGTGATGGAATCTTGTGCGCGGGTTCTCAAGGATGACACGGTCACTCGGCTATGGAGCTGCTTTCTAACATGGATCTCAGAAGGCTCAGGAGTTCCTTAAGGGGAAGAGCCATGGCTGCCTGCTCTGCTGCATCGTTGTCTCTGCATCTTCTAGCTGCTTCTTCTGTCGGCTTCGTCTATCTGCACCTTCTAGCTTGTGGACTGCGTTATAAGCAATGGAATCGGCCTTCTGATTTTCGGTTGCTTCGGCGGCCTGCTATCCGCGTCCTGCCCTGCGCTCTGCTGTCTCTGCCGTTCTGCTCGTCTCTGCCTTTCTGCTCGTCACTGCACGCTGCTCGTCTCTGCTCTCTGCCCGTCACTTCTTGCTGCTGTCACTTCTCGTGACTGCACGTGTCTTGTGCGCCTGCTTTCTGCTCGTCACGGCTCCCTGCTCGTGACTGCACTCGCCTCGTCTCTGCTTTCTGCTCTCCACAGCACTGCACTGCACTCCCCTCCCTGCCATCCGTCCCCCAGGTCTGTGCTTCCCCTTACAACTTGCTAACTTGCTGTTTTCAAAGGGAAACGAACGCACTAGAGGTTGAATATGTGCAATTGCAATTCAGTAGCACACCAGGGCACACACGTTCACGGTTATTGTTGCACTTCTGAAATCGTTGCACTGCTACGCATTGTTCTAACCTGATGTGTGGCCATGACATGGTTGTCTGGCTGCAAATGGTGGCTGCTTCAACTGAGGCAAATGGGAGAACACTGTGTTCAGTTCTGCATTGGGGCACCTACTTTCAGCGAATCTGTGACCTTGAAAATGAGACCCACCATTTGACTGGCACATACTGGTAAGCCGCTACCTGTTGGGTTGGGAGAAATGTGAGATTGCCAGTGGTGATTATTAATGACTAATTGTGTTTTGTTGACTGGTGGTACAATGTGGTGGAATTTTATGGGTTGCCGTAATGTTGTTACATGTCCCAATTTATTGCGACTCCACAGTTAAACGAATTGAACTCATTCAATTCGAATCAAATGCTTCTTCCTTGAAACAAAGTGGCATGCACTTCAGAGAAGAGGATTTATAGAATACTCCCCACTCCTCTCCTGATATAGCCAAGGTTCTGACTCACATCCATTCCCTTCTGCGGGTGCTCCGCACACCACTCCCTTGCGTTCTGAAACACAGTTCAGCACGGGCTCGGCCCACTTGCCGCATCCATGACCTCCCTCCACTCTTTCGCTTAAGGCAAAAGCCACATCAGGTAACACCCTCTCCAGGTGCGGCATCATCGCCAGATGCCGCCCATCAGGAGAGCACAGCGCTGCTATGCTATCCCACACTACTGTGGGTGCTCCGCGCACCACTCCCTAACGTTCTGGAACAGCTTCAGCCACGGGCTTGGTCCGCTCGCATCCATGCCCTCCCGCCACTCCTTGGGCGCCCACGGCAGCTGCCACATCAGGTAGCACCTCTCAGGGTGAGGCATCATTGCCAGATGCCTCCCATCAGGTGAGCACAGCGCCGCTATCCCCGCAGGGGACCCGTTGGGGTTGAACGGGTAGGCCTCGGTGGGAGCTCCGTCGTCGTCGCAGTAGCGGATGGGGGCGAGGTTGGAGGAGAGGACGGATTGGAAGAGGGATTCGGAAGGGAAGAGCGCCCGGCCCTCCCCGTGTGCCACCCAGATGCCCACCCTCGTTCCCTCCATGCCCCTGATGGGATGGGAAAGGAGCGGGAGGAGAATGGAATAAGAGAAAGCAGTAGCGGATGGGGCGAGGTTGGAGGCGAGGACAGAGTTGAAGAGGGATTCAGAGGGGAAGAGCGCCCGGCCCTCTCCATGTGCCACCCAAATGCCCACCCTCGCGCCCTCCATGCCCCTGTTGATGGGATGGGAAACGCATGGGATGGGAAGACTGGAGGAGAGGTGAGAGGAGAAAGCAGTAGCGGATGGGGACAAGGTTGGAGGAGAGGACGGCGTGGAAGAGGGAGGAGGGGAAGAGGGAGGAGGGGAAGAGGGAGGAGGGGAAGAGTACCCGGCCCTCCCCGTGGGCTACCCAGATGCCCACCCTCATGCCCTCCATGCCCCTGATGGGAAGGTGGCAACAAGGGGGAAGCAGTCAACAGGGGCGAAGGTGTCAGCAATGTGGGAGGTACTGGGATAAGGGAAGAAATGGGGTGAAAATGAGCTGAATGCGCAGATAGAGTTATCGGCCAGCGGTGAAGCAAGGTCCAGCAAGCAACAGCCAGAGCCCACCTGAGCATGACCGCAGGCGATTCATCAATCTGCGGGGTGGAGGACGCACTCAAAGCGCTCCGAGTCGTTGTGCACCGAGGGAGAGGAGAAGCACAGGAAACACAAACAGATGTTCCGGGTGGGTTTTGAGTCGACTCAAAAGTCGTTATGAGGTCGTTTTTGAGGCGCCTCAAAAACCACATACATATGTTCCGGGTGGGTTTTGAGTCGACTCAAAAGTCACCTTGACTCGATGTGCACCGAGGGAGAGGAGAAGCACAGGAAACACATACATATGTTCCGGGTGGGCCTGCAAGCCCCTTACCCCTCCCTCACCTGAGCATCACGGCAGGGGACTCCTCGATCTGAACGGTGGAGAAGCGGCACTCAAACCGCCCAGACTCATTGTGCACAAAGCGCGGCTGCGCTGCGTCGCCCCCCTCGCCCATCACCCCGCCCACGTCCGGTCCGGGGACCTAATAGGGAGAGAGGGGAAACAAGCAGAGGAGCGTAACGAGTGAGTGGAGGGAGTGGGGGAAGGGAAGAAGGTAAGACACCAATGTTGTTCCCTAGTAACCCACCTCGACAACACCCCACGCCTGCCCCATACTAGCCACAACTCACCCATCCCAGCAGCACCATGAGCTGGCAGCCGTTGCACACGCCCAGGCTGAGAACGTCTCTCACACACACCCCTGTCCACCATCCCCCATCCCCCATCCTTGATCCCCCTCAACTATTCTTTTCCCAACCCCTCCCCCGTACTCACCCATCCCAGCAGCGCCATGAGCTGGCACCCGTTGCACACGCCCAGGCTCCACGTGTCTTTCCGCTGGTAGAACGCGTCAAACTGGGCTTTAAGCCTTGAACCGGATTGCTGCCGCCCACCCCTTGGCCGAGTCCAGCACATCCGCGTAGCTGAAGCCGCCCACAAAGATGATTCCCCTGAAGTCGTCCAGCCTGGCCCTCCCTTGAAGCAGATCCGATACAGTCACATCCCATGGCTCCATGCCCGCCGCCCAGACGGCAGCTGCCATCTCCCTGTCACCGTTGCTGCCCTCCTCACGCAGGACAGCCACTTTGGGTTTTGTGGTTGCGGTCAGGAGCTGCAGTAGGGGAAAAGAGGGGAGGGAGAGACGAGGAGAGCGTTAGTCACATCCCACGGCTCCATGCCCGCCGCCCAGACGGCAGCCGCCATCTCCCTGTCGCCGTTGCTGCCCTCCTCCCTCAACACGGTCATTTTGAGCTTCGTGGTGGCGGTCAGGAGCTGCAGGAGGGAAGAGAAGGGAGGGAGGGTAAGGGAGGGGGAGAGGCGAGAAAGGTTAGATGCATGCACCTGATAACACACCGCTGCCGCCATCTCCCTGTCGCCGTTGCCACCCTCCTCGCGTAGGACGGCCACTCGCAGCTTTGTGGTGGCTGTGAGCAGCTGCAGGGAAAGAAGGGGCGAGGAAGGCAAAAAAGTGGGCAGAAAGCTTAGTACGCACGTCCAACACACTGCTACACTCCACCATCTCCCGGTTGCGGTTGCTGCCCTCCTCTCCTCCCTCAGCACTGCTTCTCTTGGCTGGAGAGGGGTGGGAGGAAAGTATGAGAGGTTAGATGCATACTGTGACATGTCAGTGCATATCATTCCGCTGTTCATACCAACCAACCTAACCCACTCACCTCGTGCGCAGTCCTGCTCGGGGTGAAAGGAAGCTTCCACGACGGCTCCTTGCGGTGCTTGAGCCCGTCCCTCTCAGCCTTGGCGCACGTCTCGGTTCGCTGCATCTGCTCCAGCAGAAACGACGACTCCTCCCACACGTCCCGCCAGGCTGGCATCGACTCCCCCTCCAGCACCGGCACCCCCGCCACCGCCACCGAGAGCAGCAGCGCAGAGGCAGGAGAGGAGGATGGGGATGTGACCTGGCCAATGACGGTGGCCGGGACCTGGGCGGCGGAGAGCGTGCGCAGTACTTCGTCATGATTGGCCGGCGCCACCTCGATCACGAGACCCAGCTCCTCCGCAAAGAGCGCCCCAAACACATCCACCTGCTCCTCATCTTCACCCTCATCTTCCCCCTCTGTCTTCCTGGCAGGAGCAGCGGGTGAGGGCAGGTCGACGGTGACCCCCGTGTTGCCGGCGAAGGCCATCTCGAGAATGGCTGTGATGATGCCGCCGTCGCTCACATCGTGGCCTGACGCGATCAGACGTCGGCTGATCAGATCCTGTTCAGGGGGAGGGAGAGGGGAGTGATGGAAGGAGGGGAGAGACAGGGGGAAGAAGCGCAGTTAAAGCTGCATGCAGTTGTGGTAGCCACCCTGAAGCTTAAACCCCAGACCTCAAACCTAGTGCACCAACTCTAGATTTTGAACCCAAAGAAAAACCCTTCTCTTCTACACTAAACACCCATACCTGCACGGCATTGAAGCCACGCTTCAGTAGCGCCACGTCAGCATCTGGTGACTCATCGCCAATCTGGTCGTACACGTGGGCGAGTGCTGACCCGCCCACCCGCCTGCTGCCCCCACTGAGGTCCACGTGGATCAACACACCCTCTCCTGGGAGCTGGGAGCAGGGGGATGAGAGAAGAGAAAGGGAGGGAAGATAGGACATTAGATCCACTGGCATTGCCCCATGCACCGCACACTCCGCCCACTAGCATATGCCCCCCACACAGGAACACGTGGATCAACACACCCTCGCCTGGGCAGGTGACATGGGAGCTCAACACCAGGTTACTGGGCACTATTGCGCCTCCCCCTCTCTGCCACCCTCCCTTCCCCTCCCTCACCTTGAGGTCAGGAGTGACAGTGAGCGTGATATCCGGGCACGTGACGTACGCACTCAACACCAGGTTGCCAGGCGCCATCACGGTCTCCCCCCCCGCCTGCACACACAGAGGGCATGGGGGGGGTGCGAGGAAGGTGGGCAGAGGAGTGGGGGAAGAGGAAGGGTCAGGCACGCAGGGAGGAGAGACACAGCATGTATTCAGCCATGCATGAGCGCCGTGATACAGGGACGCCAGGGGGAGAAAGGACGGCAATGATGGTTGCCCATTGCAGTGCATCCAGCATGCATTTGCATGCATGCATCTGCAACCCCACTCCAATCCAGCGGTACACTCGTTACACTCACCGGCTCGTTACTATCACAACTCGTCATAGGCACACCCACTCACCGTGGTGGCCATTCTCAGGCTGTCCTTGAGCACAACAGCTGCATCGTACATGGCTGCTTGAGTCGGTGCTGGTGCTGCACCCACACCATTGAGTCATCCTCGTTACAGTCAGAACCACTCACCGTGGCGGCCATAGACAAACTATCTTTGCCCCCGTCCACAGCAATCCCCAGTGCCAGCATCGCCTCCTTGAGCGCCACGGCAGCATCGTACATGGCTGCCCCCTCGCCGCCCATCTTGGCTGCATACATCCAGTTGCCGCTCGCCTTCACGTCCTCCAGTGCCGTGACCTGGGGAACCATGGGAAAGGGATTGGCGGATGAGCATGAAGCACGGGGGGGGGGGGGGGGGGGGGGGGGGGGGGGGGGGGGAAGGAGGACGAGCATCACTAGGCACGGCTGGCTGCCCCCTCCCGCTCATCTTGGCTGCATACATCCAGTTGCCGCTTGCCTTCACGTCCTCTAGCGCTGTCACCTGTGCTTAGGGAAGAGAAACAAGGATTTAGGGCAAGAGCTCGAGGGAAGAGAAACAAGGATTTAGGGCAAGAGCTCGAGGGAAGAGAAACAAGGATTTAGGGCAAGAGCTCGAGGGAAGAGAAACAAGGATTTAAGGCAAGAGCTCGAGGGAAGAGAAACAAGGATTTAGGGCAAGAGCTCGAGGGAAGAGAAACAAGGATTTAGGGCAAGAGCTCGAGGGAAGAGAAACAAGGATTTAGGGCAAGAGCTCGAGGGAAGAGAAACAAGGATTTAGGGCAAGAGCTCGAGGGAAGAGAAACAAGGATTTAGGGAAAGAGCTCGAGGGAAGAGAAACAAGGATTTAGGGCAAGAGCTCGAGGGAAGAGAAACAAGGATTTAGGGAAAGAGCTCGAGGGAAGAGAAACAAGGATTTAGGGAAAGAGCTCGAGGGAAGAGCACCACGCAGGGAAGGAGGACCCATTGCACATGGCTGGTCCCTCGCTGCCCATTATGGCAAACACCCATCATGGAAAAGTGTAGACAAGACAAGGTTGGTGGCCAGCGAGGACATGCAATGACTCGCGTAAACCAAACACTTGCTGAAGTCTACGCCCCACCCGTGTACATAAGAGTGAGTCCTGGTAACGCACCTTGGCCCACACAAGGTTGGTGAGCGCCTCCCCAATGGCCATGCGCGCCATTGCTGCTGGGTTGATGAGGCCCTGGTGGGGAGCAGCGGAGGGGAGGAGAGGGAAACAGTGAGAGAGGAGGGTGTTAAGTGAGTCATGCACAAGGGGAGGCAGGCAAGAAGGGGGACGGTGAGGGCCTAGAAGGCGCAAACATTTTAACAATCAGATAGTGTGAGTTGTCAGTGGTCAGTTCCAACCATCAGTCACATACTGTCAGTCACACTGACAACTCAGTGGCCGCAGTGGCTGCTGGCGAAAGGGAAAGCAGCAGGCACAACCAAAATCCTACAGAACCTAAAGAAAATAGAGGCTGAGTTTACAAGGACACACACGATAGGGTTCAGGTCCACGTGGCATACCTTGATTGGCTGCTCCCCAATGGCGCATGCGGCCCCTGTGATGCCTGTATGGGTCTGTGCATGTGACAGCCAATTCATGCACGTGCGCCATCCCCCATCCGCCATGGCCCCAAGCCCCCAAGCCCCATCCCCCATGCCCCATCCCCACGCCCCACCCCCAACGCCTCATGCACCATGACGCCCATGTCACACGCCCCATGCACCATGCACCATAACAAGAGCATGACAAGCCGACAGAAGGAGAAACAGATCATGCCATGGGAGCGTGGGGGGCAAGGGTGTAATTGGGGAAAGAGAAGAAGGAGGCATGGAAGGGTGGGGGGGGGAAGTGGGAATGGGCGGACGAGGGGTGTCTGCCACGTCAGCAAGGAGACCGTACCTGAGCAATGACTGCCACGTCAGCAAGGGTGATCTGCAGCGGGCCCACGGTCTGCTGCTGCGCCACGAGGCCCGTGACACAACGGTCCACCTGGAGGAGCGAAAGCAGGGAGGGAGGAGGGAAAGCAGGGAGGGAGGTGGGGATGGGAAGTGAGCGAGGGAGGAAGGGAGGGGAGAAGGGACAGAAGAGGAGGAAAATCGTAAGTTAATTCACTAGTCTGCTGCTGTGCCACGAGTCCCGTAACACAGCAGTCAACCTGGAGGAGAGAGCGTGAGGAGAGAGGAGAGAGAAGGGCATGGAAGGAGAGACATGTGTACCCATGCCCGGAACACCCCTTCCCCACCTTCCATTCCATACCATCCACAACATGCCACATCCTTCCATACCATCCACAACATGCCACATCCTTCCATACCATCCACAATATGCCACATCCTTCCATACCATCCACAACATGCCACATCCTTCCATACCATCCACAACATGCCACATCCTTCCATACCATCCACAACATGCCACATCCTTCCATACCATCCACAACATGCCACATCCTTCCATACCATCCACAACATGCCACATCCCTCCATACCGTCCACAACATGCCACATCCTTCCATACCATCCACAACATGCCACATCCTTCCATACCATCCACAACATGCCACATCCTTCCATACCATCCACAACATGCCACATCCTTCCATACCATCCACAACATGCCACATCCTTCCATACCATCCACAACATGCCACATCCTTCCATACCATCCACAACATGCCACTTCCTTCCATACCATCCACAACATGCCACATCCTTCCATACCATCCACAACATGCCACATCCTTCCATACCATCCACAACATGCCACATCCTTCCATACCATCCACAACATGCCACATCCTTCCATACCATCCACAACATGCCACATCCTTCCATACCATCCACAACATGCCACATCCTTCCATACCATCCACAACATGCCACATCCTTTCAAAAATTCACAGGCCAGTCCCAGCGGCTCCCATACCTGCAGCCTGCCTTTCCTCTACCTCTACCAGACGCAACCTGTGGCCATACCTTGGAGGTCAGAAACCGTTTCGACGGCGCCGATGGCAGCCACAGCACCCTCTAGAGCGCCTCAGAGACAATGAGCATCGGAGGCAGCTTCAGAGGCTCCCTCTCATCGCTGCTCCGCACTAAGTCAAAGCGCTTGATGGGCATACCCACCAGCAAGACATGATGGTGCCCACCAGCACCTTGCCCACCAGCACCTTGCCCACACCTTTCCACACCATCCTTATGCACTGCATGCAGCCCTTCAAACTCCCATACCTTGGTGGTGAGGAATCGCTTCGACGCCACAGAAGGCAGCCGCAGCACCCTCTTGAGTGCCTCTGCCACCGTCAGAGCAGGGGGCAGCTCCAGAGGCTCCCTCTCGTCTGTGCTGCGCACGAAGTCAAATCGCTTGCTGGGCATGTCCCCCAGCACCTTGTCGAGATCGAGGTCCACTGCTGGGAGCGGCGGGGCGTGGCCTGCTGCTGCTGCCTCTTGCTGTTCTTTAGAATCAAAAAGAACCACCTTGCCGGAACCACTGGGCGGGGAGGGAGACGCACAGGACGGATGGGGAGAGAGGGGTGAGGGGGAGTGGGAGTGGGAGGCAAAGACAGATCGCTTGATGGGCATGTCCCTCGGCACCTTGCCCACTGCTGCTGCCACCAGCTGCTCTTTAGAGTCGAAGAGAATCACATTACCACTGGGAAGTAGGGAAGACGCACGGGAAGTGGATAAGAATGGGGGGTGGGGGAGGGGACGGGGGTATTAGCGGGGGAGACAGAGGGGGGGGATGTCAAGCACTCAGCAGAACAGTGTGTCCCTGTCGCTGCCACAAAATGGCTAGGCGATGGGACACGATGGTGCGCTCAATTTGTAGAATAAGGCCCACCGAATTCAGCTTATAAGGGGTATAAACAGAGCGCTCACCTGATGGTTCCGTCCGATGACAGCCATGGAAAGCCTCTCGCGGTCGTAGATTGACCGCAGCAAGACAGCAATATGCTTATATGGAGTACAAAGGACACTGCGTTCACCTGATGGTTCCGATGACAGCCATGGAAAGCCTCTCTCGGTCGCAAATTGACCGCAGCAGCGCCTCGCTCTCAGGACGTGCGAGGAGGGCGTCCTGACGGGTTTGAGGCCGGGGAGAGAGAGTGGGAAGGGGAGGGAGAAGGGATGCAGGAGGGTTGAGATTTCGAGGGACCTCAAAGTCAGATACCTCAACAGCTCCTCGCTTTCTGGCCAGGCACGAGGGCGTCAAGGAGCGGGGAAGGGGAGGGGAAATGAAGGAGGAGGGATTGGCTTTTGAGACAGTTCAGAGGCAGATAGTGCCAAATCTTAAGCACGGACATGGCCTCGTTGCCCACCACAATCGACCGAACGTCAATCCTCTCCACCCATCCATCCCATTTACTGCAAAGAAAAACTACTTCAGGATCACCCACCCCTACACACCTGCTCCGGCGCCCCAGATTTCAAGCACAGACATGGTCTCACCCCCCACCCAATCGACCACACGTCGATCTCCCCACTCATCCAATCCTTCCTGTCCAAAAACCATCTCGTGTCACCAGCAACACCCCTACACACCTGCTCCTGGTAATCGGCGCCCCAGATCTCAAGCACGGACATGGTCTCATCTCCCACCATGCACGTCGCTACCACTCCCCACCACTCCCCACCACTTACCCCCCATAACCATTGCCCCACGTCTCACCTGCTCCTGGTACTCGGCACCCGAGATCTCGAGAACAGACATGGTTTGAACTCATCGCCCACCACCACTAGTAACCGCACGTCAATCCTCCCCACCCACCCGTACACACCTGCTCCTGGTACTCCGCACCCCAGATCTCGAGCACAGACATGGTTTCATCACCCACCACAATCGACTGCACGTCAATCCTCTCTCCACCCATCCCTTCCTCTCAGTCGCAATCACCCTTCCCCACACCTCACCTGCTCCTGGTACTCTGCGCCCCAGATCTCAAGCACGGACATGGTTTCATCGCCCACCACTACCACCGCACGTCACTCCTCCCCACCCTTCCTCTCAGTCCCAATCACCCTCCCCCACACCTCACCTGCTCCTGGTACTCGGCGCCCCAGATCTCAAGCACGGACATGGTTTCATCGCCCACCACAATTGACCGCACGTCAATCTCAGCGCCCTGCGGGTATATGATCTCCTTCACCACGTTGCAGTTGCCTCCCGCGCCCTGTGGTTGTTGGAGTGAATAGGGGTGCGCGTGAATGGGGATAAGGTGGGTTGATCACACGTCAATCTCCGCCCCCTGAGGGTAGATGATCTCCTTCACCACGCTGCAGTTGCCTCCCGCACCCTGTGGGTGGACAGAGACAGGAGTGCAGGCAGACGGACAGAGAAAGGAACGGAGGGGTGTAAATGACATGGCATTCTTGCTCCCCTGAGGGTAGATGCTTTCCTTCACCACGTTGCATTTGACTCCCGCGCCCTGAGGGTGGGGGGGAGGAAGGCGTGCAGCAGAGTGAGAGGTGCAACAAGTGCAGAGGGTAGTGAGAGCGCGGCAATCTCAGCGCCCTGCGGGTAGATGCTTTCCTTCACCACGTTGCAGTTGCCTCCTGCTCCCTGTTAAGGGCAGAGAGAAAGGATTGGGAACAACGGCAGAATGATGGCATGACAATAGCAGCACAGAAAAGGGCAATTATCGCCCAGCTCCCACCACTCACATGTGCTTTTTTGAAAGGTCCCATAAGAATGGAGCCTGGGCAAACTCCCAGTTGGCTTAGCTAGGATTACTCACCTGGTCGTCGTGGATGCTGAGGATGGGTTCTGATCGCCCAGCTCCACACACGTGCATTTCAAGAATGCTGTACTATACAAAACATCAGAAGCTCTCACCTGGTCGTGGATGCTCAGAATGGGGTTCTGATCGCCCAGCTCCACACACGTGCGCACCACACGGTTCAGCTTCTGGGCCATCTCCGCGTCACCCCTCTGCACCGCATTGAAATCCATCTCTGCGTCGCGCGTGCCTGACACCATGCTGCTCGCCGCACCTCCGCCCATGCCAATGCGATACGCCGGGCCTCCGATCTGCACGGGAGGAAAGAGCGGGAGGAGGGGGAAAAGGGGGGGAGCGGGCAGGGCAGGGCGGGGGACATAATGCTGACACGACAGCAAGCTGCTGACCGCACCTCCCCCCATGCCAATGCGGTATGCCGGCCCTCCTATCTGCACAGGGGGCAGGTGGGGGAAGGTTGGGAGAAGGGGAACATAGGATAGGACAGCAGCATGGCCCCTGTGCGTCCCTCAGACCTGACAAAAGCAGGTGCCGGTGTAGATCCCTTGCTGAGCATGATCTGCTTGACCCACTCCCTCCTCTCCCCACTCACGTTGACTCGCCTTCACTAGCATTGACTAGCGTTGACTGGCGTTGACTGACTCACCTTGACCACCAGCATGCCCACGTCTAGCTCCTCCTTCACCAGGAGCCGGTGGTCAATCTGGCCAATGCCCCACACATGTTAACAAGCATTGAACAGCCTTGACTTGCATTGACTGACGTTGACTCACCTTGACCACCAGCATGCCCACGTCCGGCTCCTCCTTCACCAGGTGCCGGTGGTCGATCTGTCCGATACCCCCGCTGAACATGATGGGTTTCAGCCACTCCCTCCTCTCCCCGCTCGCCAGCCGCATGCCGAACGTGCGTGTGTAGCCCTGGATCAGCGGCTCCCCGAACTTGTTGCCATAGTCCGATGCACCATCGCTGGCATCGAGCAGGATCTGGAGTGGAACGTTGAGGAAGGAGGGACGAGCATGGTGGAAAAACGGGAGGGTGGAGAGTGAGGATGGCAAGGGGGGTGAGAGGGTATATCCCGAACGTGTGTGTATCCTTGGATAAGAGGCTCCCTGAACTTGTTGCCAGTACAAAACGTGCGTACTGAATGAACAAAACAAGAAACCAGTCAACTCATATGACAAAAAAGAGCAGTCTTCTGTGCAATGCAAAGAGTGGTGCAGGTCTGACCTGGAGCGGTGGAGCGAGGTTGGGAGGATACTCAAACGAGGTGTCTTCCCAGGGCGCTGCATGCCCCTCCATCTGACGTGACGTGATGTGATTATAACGAGGGGGGAGAACCAGCACGAGTTGGCAGGGAAACACAGAAGAAAGGTTAGCAAGTCTCCCCCACAGTGATGATCCAAAGCGTCAGCAACCACAGTCTCATGCCCCTTGCTCCGTATCCCTTTCACCCGCACATGCCCCCTTCCTTCACGTCCTCTTCACATCCCCCCCCCCTCCCCCTCTCCTTTAACACACCATTCCCCTCCCCCCTCCCCCCCTTTACCCAGCCTGCACGCACCTGCAAGTTGCCCACGCAGTAACCAGCAGTGGCGGCAACCACTAGCGAGCCGACACCTGTCGCGTGCGTGTCGCGAATCCGTCCCCCTGCGCCCGTCTCTGCACCGGGAAATGGTGCCACCTGGAGTGCAAAACACAAAGGGAGTTTGGACAACGCAACGGGAATGAGGGACGTTGGTTGGTTGGCTCAGGCAGTTTAAGTCAACTCTGTGACCCTGTCTGCACCCCTCTCTACAATCGTCCCCTTGCTTACAGCACGGGCATTAACTCATGGTGCCAGGGGAGTTGTGCGTCTCAGCCGTGAAGAGAATGTCAAAGTCGCGCTCCTGAGGCTCAAGCTTGTGAAGCAGGTTCATACTAGGCAGTCCACCTGTCTCTACTATCGCACACTTAGCTTGTGACAGATGCATGGACTCACCGCGCAGGGGAAGTTGTGCGTCTCAGCGGTGAAGAGAATGTCATAGTCCCGCTCCTGAGGCTCCAGCTTCGACGGCTGCCCGGGATTCTCGGGCAGAATGGCAGACACCACACGACCGCGGATGGCACTGTGAAGGCGGGCGAAGGGAGAAAAAGGAGGGAGGGAAGCAGAAGCGAGAATAAGAGTCACATTGAGTGTGTGATGACTGCGCTGCAATTAGCCGTGTCATGCAACCATGCCGTGCCATCCCATCCCATCCCATCCCATCCCATCCCAACACATGCTATCCCCACCTCACCCACCACTCCCCACCCATCTCCACCGCTCACCTGGACTTACCTTTGAAGCCAATGACGGAGTTGTTGGGGTTGGCTCTAAGCGTGTCCTTCACCAGATCCATTAAGGTGTGCTGCACCTTCTGCCCTTAGGGGCAACCACTCCCATCCCATGTCATCCCACCACCACTCCTCACCCACCACCACTCCTCACCCATCTCCACCGCTCACCTGGAGTTGTCTTTGAAGCCAATGACGGAGTTGTTGGGGTTGGCTCTAAGCGTGTCCTTCACCAGATCCATTAAGGTGTGCTGCACCTTCTACCCTTAGGGGCAACCACTCCCATCCCATGCCATCCCACCACCACTCCTCACCCACCACCACTCCTCACCCATCTCCACCGCTCACCTGGAGTTGTCTTTGAAGCCAATGACGGAGTTGTTGGGGTTGGCCCTAAGCGTGTCCTTCACCAAATCCATGAGCGTGTGCTGCACCTTCTGCCCGTCAACCGTCAGGTCACCCTGGCAAAGGCAGGTGGTTGAGAGAATGAGGGAATGGGGAGCAATGGGGGGAGGGGGGGTGGTGAGAGGAAGTGGCCGTGTCCTTTACCAGATCCATCAGCTCAGTGTGTGCTACACCTTCTGCCCGTCCACTGTCAAGTCAGCCTGGGGAGAGGGAGGAGGGGAGTAGAAAGGGAGAAAAAGGTGGTGGCAAGATGGGACGTGGAAACGCGCAACATATGGAGCCGGCCCATCAGCGTGTGCTGCACCTTCTGCCCGTCCACCGTCTAATTGTCTTCGCAAGGGAAGAGAGGGAGGAGAAAAAAGGGAATGGGGGGGGGGGGGATTTCGGATGAATGGAAGGAATTTATAACACTAAATCCTTGGGCATGGTGAAAGGAAACGTGCAACATATGGGAGCACATTTATCAGCGTGTGATGCACACCACATGTGGGGGCAACTATGCATCATCCGTGGCGAAAATCAGTGGCATCTGTGAATGGTTAGCATTGAACTGAGTGGGAAATAACAGAACTGAAACTGGTGGGGCCCTACAATGGGAGACTGCCTGCCTAAAACGAGGATAAACTGTTCTGTACCTTGAAGAACCAGTGGCAGCTGTGCTCGGAGTTGGACTGTGTGATGTGATGTCAAACAGCTCCACGTTGGTGGGGTCCTACAGTGGGGAGACTACCTATAACGAGGATAATTTGCTGCCTATAACGGGGATACAGTGTACCTTGAAGAACCAGTGGCGGCTGTGCTCGGAGTTTGACTGCGCGATGTCAAACAGCTCCACGTTGGTGGGGTCACGCCCGATGTCCTCACGGAACAGACGAGTGTAGTACTGGTGGGTGGTGGGGAGAGGGTGGGGTGGAGGAGGTGGACTGATTTCTTCCGAGTCAACACCGAAATTGCCTTGCATATGCAACTAGCCTAGGTCGCACTTCTAAATATCCCCCCTCCCCTCCCCGTTCTCCCCCACCCCCATCAACTCACGTCCAGGTCCCACTCGTCGAACGCCAGCCCCATGTCCTTGTTGACCTGCTCCAACGCCTTGCGCCCCTCCTGCTCCATGCCCATGCAGGGAGGGTGTTTAGAAGAGGGAAGGGGGGGAGAGAGTGCAGAAAAGCAGTGAGTGTAGGAAGTTTGGAAAAGGGCCTATACCGAACGTGCGTTGTTCCTCTGGGATAATAATCATGGATAAGAACGGAACGATTAACTTGAATGTGAAGCAGCTCTCTTTCAAAGCAGAGATAAACGCGTGGATCACCTTCATAACAGGGATGCGCACAACAGGTGCGGGAGCAGCGTCCGTGACAAACGTCTCAAGCCGCGACTCATACACACACTCCGTCATGCGATCATGCACCAACGCTGCAAACGCTGCCCTCTGCTCCTCCCCAAACACAGCAGCCGCCTCAACGCCAGGCGCCAGCTGCAGGGCGTAGCGGCGAGACCTCTCAATGCGAGTCACCTGTGGGGGTGGGTTGACGGAAGTGAGGGGGATGGCAACGATGGGGTGTGGGAGGACTGGAAAGCAGCTGCAGGGCATAGCGTTGAGTCACCTGTGGGGTTGGGTTGGCAGTACCCGCGGGAAGAGGGCAGCGGGGAAGAGAGGCGGAAACTTTTGAGTTGACTCAAAAGCCACCTCTTTTTGAGTCGACTCAAAAGTCACTTGTGGGGGTGGGTTGGCAGTACCCGAGGGAAGTGGGCAGAGGGGAAGGGAGGCGGAAAGACTCATACACACACTTCGTCATGCAATCGTGCACCAACGCTGCAAACACTGCCCGCTGCTCCTCAGTCAAGGCAGCTGCCGCCTCAACGCCTGGCGCCAGTTGCAGGGCATAACGGCGAGAGCGCTCGATGCAAGTCACCTGGGTGAGGGAAAGGGGAGGGTGGGGGTTGGGGAGAAGGAAAGGCACGTGGGCGGGACAGGAGGCAAGTGGGCGGGACAGGGGGCAAGTGGGCGGGACAGGGGGCAAGTGGGCGGGACAGGGGGCAAGTAGGGAGATGGGACGTGGCGAGACCTCACAAGGCCCCAGTGTCTGCTGCCCCTTTACCTGCTCCGAGCCCCACACCTCTCTCTGCTGCCCCTTTACCTGCTCCGAGCCCCACACCTCTCTCTGCTGCCCCTTTACCTGCTCCGAGCCCCACACCTCTCTCTGCTGCCCCTTTACCTGCTCCGAGCCCCACACCTCTCTCTGCTGCCCCTTTACCTGCTCCGAGCCCCACACCTCTCTCTGCTGCCCTACCTGCGTCAAACCCCACGACCCTCTCGCTGCCCACTTACCTGCTCCAGGGTGCAGGAGCGACAGATGGAGACAGCGTTTGTCGACCAGGCAGTGGTAAACGACAAACGAGGCCCCACCTCCACCACCACCACCTTCCCCTCCTCCTCCCCCTCCCCTTCCCCCTCCGCTGCAGCGCCAGCACTGAAAACTGACTCCCGGGTGAGCTTCTCAGGCTCGTACGTCTCAGATAACACCCACACCAGAGCCGCCTCGTGTGCTGCATCCAGCGGTGACGTCAGCTCCACGTTGAAGCACTGCTCCGTGCGGATGCTGATAACGTCAGCGCACACCTTCTCCTGGACCTGAGAAGGAAGAAGGGGGAGCGGGTGGGGAGAATAAGCAGGGGATGGAGCGGGAGAGAGGGACAGGAGGAACGTGGGAAGCATGCGACAGGTAAGGGGCGGTGGGATGACCGGGGTTACTAAGGCAAGGGGGTAACGGAGTCACGGACATGACAAGACGGAAAAAACGCAACAGGGTGCAGCGGCAGAGAGAGGGCATGGAGTGAAGAAAAGAACGAGAGCGACCTCAGCAGTGATTTCTTGTGGCGACAGAGAGGCGCAAATGGCGGTTACCTTGTGAAGCAGCGATTCTGTGGCGGCGTCGGAAAGGAGCGGGTGGCGGTAGAAATGGGTGACCATATGCGCATGGGCGGAGGCAGACGGGGTGGACTCGCTGCTCTCAACCACCACGGCATCGCCCTGGGGTAAAAAGGAGTGGATGAAAACGCAACATTAAGGGTACCGGTACTGCCCTGAGTCAGCTCAATGCATGTCGGCTCACTGCGTGTCAGTCATTAACCGCCCGGATCTTGTCACGTCAGCAGTGTCGCTGATGTTCCAACACAGTATCCTTCCCCGTCCTCCGTCCCCCGTCCCCCGTCCCCCGTGCCCCGTGCCCCGTGCCCCGTGCCCCGTGCCCCGTGCCCCGTGCCCCGTGCCCCGTGCCCCGTGCCCCGTGCCCCAATCCCTGTATCCAGTAGCCTGACACGGGGTACGATACGGGGTATGGGTGCACCCTAACATTGTGTACACTATTCTAGAGCACGCTGCTCTAAGCAACGACCGCATTGCCCTGGGTAACTGGATGAGAATATGGTCCCCTCCCCCCTCACTCGCCCGCCCTCTCTTGCCCCCCGCTTCCTTCTAAATGAGCTGGGTGAGAAGGTTCACTACTCACCGACACTGCTTTTGGGGTCTGACCAGCCGTCGCCACCACAACCGGCCGCGCTATGCCACGTGGCAGCACGATTGGAGCCGGGCAAGAAACAATAATTCCCGGAGCCAGGTTCCGGGCAGCGGAAATGTTTCGAGATCCGAGCCATTTGCTACCGAGCCGTGGAGCGCCAACTCCGCCGCTGGCGGAAGAGACAATGGCGGAGCGCAAACGCGTGCGCAGATGGCGGGAGGAGGAGCGCGGGAGGCAGGGGGAAACGCCGAGCGGAAGCGCGCGCGGCTGCAGCAGGCACGCGGAAAGCAGTCCCTCCATGGCTGCGGGACGCAGCGACCTCTGGCAAAATCAAATCCCGGCGATCGCACTGAAATGCAGACGAAAGATCGGAGCACGGCGGTATTAAGGGATCTGCTGGATGAATATATGAATGTGAAGGCGGAAACAGATAATGAGGAGAGACAACGGGAAAAACGGAAGCAGGCAGGATACGGTGGTAGCAAGAGAGATTGGAGAGGCGTGGGAGATCAAGTGGATCTGAGACAAATTATCAACGCACGGGCAGGTGAAGTTCACGAAAGTGACTCCAAAGTCGTCGTATCCCTAAATGCTGCGAAATAAAGGTGCGAACGACAGGAAGCCACGACTAGAAGGAAAGAATGAAGGAAAGAAAGAAAAGTCACCCACGAAAGACACGAGCTGGCCAGAGCCTTTTTCCTCAGGCGTTTCAGCCCTCCCTTCGGGCACAAAAGACCGTACCGCCCGGGACAAATCGCGATCCGGCTTGAGTGAACAAGCGCTTCGCAACAGAGAAGACAAATGCCGAAGACAAGAAACAAATCCAAATAAAACCCAGAACTTCCTTCTGCTTGGTTGCTTGAACCAGAAGGTGAATGGAAGGGAAGTTGGGCTGTTGTGGTGGGTCAAGAAGGCTGAATGGGGTGTGCGAAATTCGCTGAAAGCGAAATGACAATATCGAGGTTCGCCGGTGTGGCGGCCAGGCGTGCATGAAAATTGGCGCGCGGAATGACAAGCATCCGCCCGGCCGTGGGGGAAGGGGGGATGGTCCCGCCAAATTTACTTCTGAATTCTGGGATCGCAGTGCGGTGCAGTGTGGTGCGGCGTGGAAAGAAATCTGTATGCCCCTCTACAATGGCCGCAAATGGCGACAGATCTTTCCGCCAGTCATTGGACGCGGGGAACAGGCGGACACTGAGAATATCGAGCTGATCTGGGCGCGCTTTTCCACCGTGACAGCATGCGATTGGTCGAATTGTAAGTGCTGATTAGGATAGTTCAAATAGTGAACAACTATTTTCCTGACCCGTACAGCAGAACCGGTTTATATAATATAAACAGCTTGGAGTGCCTAAAACCATACTTCATGTGCTACAATGGAGGAGTGCTAGCATACATGTTAAAACACAAATCGAGGTGAAACTACCTAATCCATCTCATGTGGAAGGCCATGCCCATAACACTCCAGATTCATCCTTCCTCCCCAAACTCTGCCGTGAACTTTTCTTGAATCTTCAAGTCGTCTTTGCTCACTGTTGGCTTCTGTCGTGACAACACCTTGTCAAAGTCAGACTTCACGATGGGTGGAGGAACAATCTGCAGCAAAACAAGCAAGGCAACCCAACCAAAGTAGCCGCCCACAAAAACAGCACACTGAGGGTAAACCAAAATGCGGTGGAAAGGAAAAAACCATTTTGCTTGTCTCAATCCTTGAAGTGCAACCCATGGTGTCTGACTTCCACAAACACCCTACCACCCAGTTCCTCCCACAACCTCCACCCTTCAAGCGTGCCCTACTCTTCCCTTCGCTTCCCCTCCCCGCCCTCACCTTCTCCCCCAATCCCTGCGCTGCAAGTTCCTCCATGGTGGTTTGAATGGCGCCTGGCTCCCGCGGCCCACACGGCATGTAGCACATGTCCCCGTCCTTGGCCACCTGGGGAGAGGTGAGGAGAGGGAGGGAGAGGGAAGGAGGCGGTGGGGTCGTTGGTGGTCTCGAGCCTGGCTCTCAGGGCCCACACGGCATGAACTACATGTCCCCGTCCTTCACCACCTGGTGAGAGGGGAGGGGGAGTGGGGAAAGAGGGAACGAGGAGGGAGAGGGAAGGGAGAGGGGGGCGAGAGGGGAGAGGAAGTGAGACCTGGGATCCACAGTGGTGCGACCCTGAATGGCGCCTGGCTCCCATGGCCCACACCTACAGCATGTAGCACACATCCCTGCCCTTGGGCACCTGGGGAGGGGGAACAAAGGCGGAGGGAGAGGGGAGCGAAGGGTGTGTTCCATGATAGTGTCACCTTAATGGTGCCTGCTGCCTTGTGCCCACATGGCATGTAGAGCATGTTGCCCTCCTCGTGCAACCGGGGAGAGGGGTGACTGACCGGGAGAAGAGGAAGGGGGGAAGGAAGAAGGAGGGGAGTTCGGTTTGGAGGGAAACAGGAGCCAAGAATCTAGAAGACAAAGAACGAAAAGTTCACAACGCATTTGGCTCATCATGGAAAGGGCGCGTCTAAAACTAGTAGGCAGCGAACCATTAACAATGGGAAAGTAGGTGTACCAAAAGTGGTGGTACAAGAGTTAGACCTATTGTGCATGGCACTTAGGATGTAAACGGTGGCGAGAAAGGTAGGATAGGATGTAAATCAAGGTCATCAGCCTAAATGACCAATATTTTGGTCACAAAAACATGTTGTGTGTAATATTCTCACACGTTCTGCCTCACCTTCTTGAAGTGCATGGCATCTTGCGTCTTCCGAACGGGCTCAAACAGAACATCCTTCACCTGGCGAGTACATAAGGCAAGCAACCGGGAGAAACATCATAAGAACGAAACCATGGAGAGAATGAACGACTCAGGAGCAGGAGTTCTCATGGCAGGAGGAGAAGCGGAACAACGGGCATGGTGTCAAAGGAAAAAACAAGGACGCTGGCAGACCCAACCCAACCAAACCAAACCCAACCAAACCCAGACCCAACTTTGACTTACACAGACTGAAATATCCGACCCCGAGAATCCATCTGTCTTCTGAGCCAGCTCCTCAAAGTCCTTCTCTGACAGGCTGTAGGGCGTGTCTCCCAGATGCACCTGCAGAGGAAAGGGAAAAAGGGGAGGGAGGAAATGCCTTGGACGAGGACAAAGAAGCGTTTCTCCTCTGGCAGACTGTAGGGTGTGTGTGCCTCCAGTCCAGATGCACCTCCTGCATTGCCCTTAACCTCTTGTTGGCATTCCCACCCCAACATCAAACCAGCATGCCACTCACATTGTACACATGCTGCTTTGAGGTACCTCAAGGCACCTCCAGCATCATGCATTTGCCCACCCCAACCATCATGCATGCGCGTCTCACCTTGAATATGTCCTGCCTGGCCTTCACGTCCGTTGGCATTCTTACCAAATCAGACCCATGCCCTCAAATAGTCTAACTACCTTGAACACATGCTGCTATTCCAGGTGCCTCAAACCTCAACGTACCTCATGTCAGATACATCACGCATTAGCCTGGCTCACCTTGAACATGTGCTGCCTGGCTCACCTTGAACATGTGCTGCCTGCCTCACCTTGAACATGTGCTGCCTGGCTCACCTTGAACATGTGCTGCCTGCCTCACCTTGAACATGTGCTGCCTGGCTCACCTTGAACATGTGCTGCCTGCCTCAACTTGAACATGTGCTGCCAGGCTCACCTTGAACATGTGCTGCCTGGCCTTCACATCCGGTAGGGGGATGTAGATTCGCTTGTCAAAACGCCGACGCACCGCCTGGGAGGAAGGGCGTGTGACCAAGCAGGTGCAGACAGCAGAAGAAACGAGGAAACTTTGGATAGCAGCAAGGGACGTGGAGGGGGGAGCATTGGGGGAGCGGGAGAACAGAGTAATAGTGAGGGATTGGGGATGGGGACGGGACAACAAACAAAGGAGACAGGGAGTAAGCAGTATGGAATCAGCACGCTTACCTGGTCGAGGGAGTAGGGGGTGTTGGTGGCAGCGAGCACCAGCACCTTGTTGTCCTCCGTGCCCACACCCTGGGGAGGGAGGAGGGAGGGAGGGACGACGGGAGGGAGGAGGCAGGAAGGGAGGCAGGGAGGCAGCAAGAGGGGGGTGGATCAGAGGGATGGAGAAATGTTGTCATTTGCTAACCGGATGTGAAGGCCAGGCAGCAATCCCCTCACCCATCCTCCCTGTTACCTTCACCTAGAAGTGTAACTCTGGTTTGATGCATCTCTCTCCCTCCCTTCCTTGAATCCAACCGTCTTATCACTACCCACCTCCACATTAGCCCCTCACGCTCCTCCTTGTTACCTGCATCTGAACAAGGAACTCTGTTTTGATGCGCCGTGACGCCTCGCTCTCGTTGCCCTCGCCCCTCTGGCCGCACAGCGAGTCAATCTCGTCTATGAAGATGATGGAGGGCGCACTCTCACGGGCCATCTGGAAGAGATTCGCCACTAGCTTCTCACTCTCGCCCATCCACTTGGACACCAGGTCGGACGAAGAGATGCTGGAGAGAGGTGGGGTGTGTGTGTGGAGGAGGGGAGGAGAGAGGGGGGGGAGAGGGGGAGAAGGGAGAAAGGAAACCTGAGTTAGGAACCTCATAACACAGCACCAGGTCCGACTACGAGATGCTGCCGCGAAGAGGGAGGGATGGGGGGGAGAGGTGGGAGAGTGGGAGAGGGAGGGTTGAAGAAGTGTTACGAGGTGCACCATTACAGCTTCTCGCTCTCGCCCTTCCACTTGGACACCAGGTCCAACGACGAGATGCTGCAGCGCAAGGAATGGGGTGGGTGGATTGGGGGAAGTGGGAGCATAAGATGGGCGTCGAGGTTATGACTAAATTATGCCCGTATTTGACCAACCAGTCAGACCCCCAGACTAACCTTAAGCAGGTTGAATCGGCCTCCGTGGCAACAGCTTTTTAGAGCACGACCTGTCAGTGCCTGGAGAGCCGCACAGGAGGAAATGCCCAAAATTTGACCACGAAATGGCAACCCAATCAAAGTCCCAGGCTGACCTGAAGAAGGTGGAGTCGGCGTCTGTGACGACAGGCCCGGGCAAAACACGAACTGCCAGAGCCTGAAGGGCCACACCACGAGCAAATACCCCAAATTTGGCCACGAAACAGTTCCAATCAGACCTCCCAGACTGACCTGAAAAAGGTAGAGTCGGCCTCCGTGGCGACAGCCTTGGCGAGATACGACTTGCCAGTGCCTGGTGGGCCGTACAGGAGGAACGCTCTCCATGGCCGCCTCTTGCCTGGGATAGATAGATGCACAGACATGCATTTCACGGATGTGAGCCATTTGAAGCATGCAAGGGCCGGTCTTAGGAATGGATGCCAGAAATACGTGGTGGTGTAGAACGTAAGACGAGGTTTCTACGACAACACTGACTTTATGCAAGACGCCATGGAACAAATGGCTTCGCTATGTGCGCAACAGCAAGACCTCATAGAATAGGTCAGTCAACCGTCAATGGGGAGCGCGAGGTACTCAACTGTGGAAAACTGCGGGGATTTGACTGGCAGGATGACCGCTTCCTGAAGATCTTCGAGGCGCCTTAAAAAATAGCCAATGGGGAGCGCGAGGTACTCACCTGTGAAAAACTGCGGGAATTTGACAGGCAGGATGACTGCCTCCTGTAGCGCCTGCTTCGCGCCTTCCAACCCTGCCACGTCGGACCACTTGATGTTCGGCTTCTCTCGCACAATGGCCGAATTCAACCCCGATCGAAGCTTCATGTTGTCCGCGTCGTCATCCCCGCCACCAGCTCCACCTTTCTTCGCCTTCGGCTTGATAGCAGACGCTGCGTCTCCCGGCGCTCCGTTCTGCGGTGCTCCTTCCAGTACCTCCTTAATCTGCTCGGCTCGATCTAGGTATTCCACGAACTTGGCCTGAATCGCGTCTTTAATCTTCGGGTTCTTCTCGTACTTCAAGTGGGTCTTAAAATACTCAAGTGCGTTCATGTAAAGAGGCAGGGCCTTGGCATAGTTGCCAGCTGTATCCTCCTGTACAGCCTGCTTCGCATACTCAATCCCTTGCTCCTTAAAGTTACTGTACATGGCAACAGGATTATTGGAGATTGGGGGTCTCTAGAAGAACAGATAGCTATTGCTGCGAAAAACTCTTAAAAACTGGGACAGAATTAAGGTTGCGATGTTTTCAACTTGATCTCTCGAGTCCGTATGTTGTATCCATTGTGTGAGAAGGTCGAGTTTTCAAAAGCTAGCGAAGAAAAGAACAAATCAATCGTTCTTTGCGAGTAAACCACGAAAAAGGAATAATCTGCTCCCTAAAAAAGAAACTCCAGACGGCGAGCGCACCGATTCCAAACTAGTATACGGCTGACCGTTTAAGTCCCTTCGCAATTTCAGTCAGTGCGTAATCATGCCGAAGGAGCCATACAAGCACAAGCCGAAGAAAGGAAGGTGGTAGTGGTCTTCACTAGAGCTGCTGAAAATCAGAGCGGCATCCCTTTCCCTGACAATCCCAAGGCATACTGGGCTGTCAGTAGTTCCTCTGAACCTGACCGACAGGACCAAAACTGAGGATGTGCATTCGCGAATCGTCGTCTACGCGGCCACATTTTGCAACGACGTTACCTCACGGATTTCGTGCAACTGGAATCGGTATTTGAGATGGGCTTCGGCGAAAGTGGTGTTCGTCTTGCGACAGCAAGACAACTGCGGTGTATACATTTTTTTTTTCTGAAACAGCTATTATGTAAACACCTTAGGATTTGCTTTGATAGGCAACTACATAACCACAATGAGTTGGGAGAAGGAAAAAAAAATTGCTTCACATGGTTTATTATGGTCAATCTAGTCCAAAAATGGCTCGATACACAAATTCTGAGCTGGTTGAGCAACAAAAAGGGCCTAATAAACCGAATTGGTCGCACTCTGGTACTGAAGAGAAACAGGGGCCTTCATACATTTATGTACATCACAGGGAGTGCGCGGCATGACCAACACCACCACCACGCCACAACACCCAAACCGTAGGCGTTTCACATATTACTCACACTCGTACACAAGTGCACCTCTTGAACGCAATCTCTCTGATTTGATACAGAGGAAAGGTTCTCTGGACCCGTGCCAGAAACATTCTCTCAGGGTCTTTGAAAGACCTCAGATAGCTATACGTGTCCTTGAAAAGAACAAGTCTGTACCCCATAGCGCCACGAGGACATTGGCAGCCTGCCGACAATTCCGTGTGAGTGAAAAAATCCATCCTGTGAAATGCTCTGAGACCTTCACAAGGCTCAGAGCGCCCTGTACGAACGCCGGGAGCTCAAGACTGGAAATGACCTGAGTCAACTGCACATGTCGACTACCGGTAGGAGCGACGAGAGAAGAGAGGGACAAGGTGGGACGGCTCCTCGGAGAATCGACCTCTGCAATCAACGCATCGTGAAAAAGAAAACAAAATAAAAAAGTCACAGAAGCACTTACCGTAGTCTGTGGACGAAGCGACAAATACTGAAGTTAAAGGAAACACGATAACAACGCCTGCCCCTCCACGAGTGCATACCTAAGTGTTGATATCCCCTAAGAATTTCTGGTTCCTCAACTTCGCACTCTGAAGCCCAACGAGCTGGTGAGGCCGAACTGTCACGGGAGAGACTCTCTGGCGGGAATGACACCTCGAGCTCATCGTCATCATCCCGCTTCATAGTTGCACGGGGATGTCTAATCGCTTTCGGTGACCCTTGTTTTGAGCACGCTAAAAGGCCGAGTGCAGAAACCCCAAGAATATGAGCGGAGAGGTAAGGGAGGGCCGTGAGCAGCAACACTTGGTCAGGTTTGATAGCACAGCCACCCCGTCGACTTAGGGGCCCCTGTGTTACGAAAAGCATTCAACCCTGGTAAACACTCAACGATTTGCGCCGCTGTGGTACACAGGACTTTCAAATCAATGATCGGAGTGCGCCTGGCCAGCACAACCCTGATCTTGTTTCATTACTAAGACGAGGAACCCCTGTCTTCCTACCAGCGGAGTGTCTAAGAACCTAAGTCACTCTTCATAATCTCGCTCCTCCTTCCTACCTAAGAGCGTGTTACGTACCCCTTATTTTGGTGGCATGCCCCGGTTGCCTGTAAATGTCGACCCAACCTGACTGGTCGGGTCGACTGGTGGGCGGTTGGGTACCACCAGGCAACCTGCAAATGTACCAACCGCTTGTTTTCAGGACCCAACCACGCGAATAGTCTTTGGGGCAGACTCAACAGTCAATACGCCAATATGATGCTTCCAATTCTTGTTATCTGTTTTTTCCACCAATCGTATCGAGACTCGATACAATCACCTGCCCGAAATGTAGACTGTACTACCAGTTGGGTTGCAGGTTGTTACGTTCAAGGTTGGTTGCCTCGACTCAGTTGTACGTGGGCGCGACCAGCTGGTTGCATTGACCACCTGGTTGCCTCAACCAGGTGTGAGAATCCTATGTACACACGTCAGCTACTGTACACTGTAGAGCCAGTGGTAATCCGGTAACCCTAATGGTCAATCGAGCCCGACCGTTCGAGGCAACCCGACCAGCCCCTGAAAAGAGGGATACATAACACGCTCTAAGTATCTTCATACTTGCACCTTCTCAAGGAGCTCACGTCAAACAAGTCTCCACCCGAAAAGCTCCTCACCTCGCAATTGCAGCCACAGCTGGCTTCTGGAATGCTGACGGTGATGTTTAGTTGGCTGGTTCACCAGCTCAAATAAGGCCGTGGCGGATCATCTTTCGCTGAATGCCGAGGTCAAGAAAACAGGAACAGGTCATTAACTGCCTCCCATGATTGGGCAGGTGGCTCCGCAAAGCATGACAGTTTCATCTTCGTCATGTTTGGTGCTTGAAGCTGTGACTGTCGCAGCGCCATGTGCTGGCAAGCATCCAGCCATGTACCATGTAACACGATAGACTCCACCCCAGTCGAGATGATCCGAGCAATCCGCGTTACAATAACATTCAAGGCTGCACTTTATTACTCGAAAATTTGAGGCTATATTATACATAAAAAATATTCATATGCTCATTATGAAAGCGGCACGAGGAGAATGTTCACCCCATGGAACTTCAACCTCATAAACGGCAATCAGAACTCCCTCCCAAACCATCATAGATTTCCCCTTCCGAAGCACGCATAACATGCTCCGCTTTCTTCTTTCAGAAGTATCGCATGTGTGCATCAACAGCCCCGACACAAACACCAGCAGCCATTCCTTCTCTACCAGCAAATCCAGTCGCGTATCCATCACCAGCAGCTACAGGAATGATCATCACCTGGTCTCCAATGCTGCTGAATATCCCTGTTCCACCTGACGCCATCATCCTCACCACATTCTCTTCATTAACCGGAATACCTACCTTTGCATTTTCCTTCCCTCCCTTTTTCCTCCCCCATTCTCGTCCCCCGACATCAACAGCAAATGTTTCAGGTCCATGTGTAAACAAACGCCTCATCTCTGACTGCACTTCCTCTTCTTGAAGCACAAAAAATCTCGCCTGATAGAAATTCGCCTGTAGCTCAGTGCCACATACGCAGGTCGCCTGTAGCTCAGTGCCACATACGCAGGTCGCCTGTAGCTCAGTGCATCATATACAGCAGCTGCCTGCAGCAACAGTTGCTTGTGACATCCCCGCGGCCCTTCCCCACAGTCAACCTCCACAACACCACGAGAGTTGCTTTCACTAATACCACCACCATCAAGGGCAGCATCTGCCTGCCTGCCTCCATGCATCATGCCGGCTTCAAGCAACGGATCAAAATCCTCCTCTTCCTCCTCTTCCTCCTCTTCCTTCTCATCCGCCTCTATCCATTGCCGCGTATACGGATCGAACGATGCCATCTGCCGATCCCACCTGTACCGCATCCTCTCACCACCTCTTCCTCTCCCACTTCCACCCTTCTTTGGACCAAGCAGGTGCCAGAGACCCCCCTCGTGAGCCAGAAAAGAGATCGGGCTGGGGAAGTGGATACATGAGGGGAAACAGCTTGTCAGCCATTGGAAGTTAATCAGCAATAACAGCAGAAATGTCCCTCTGACAAGAAACATATGCGATGGTACTTACCCCATCCGCCGACGTGGAGGAAGTTTTCTCCACTTCCCACGTGGCATGCCTGCTTCATCCACCTGAGAGTTGACAATCGAGAAAGGAGACAAGAGGAGGGGGGAGAGAGCAAGAAAGGGGAATGTCTCATGACAATCACCTAGGACATCAGTACAAGGACATGGCAACAAGCACATTTACGATTGCATGACCGCAACATCCGTGTCAACACCCTACCAAACATGAAGTCCATATTGAACTCAACAACAGACTAATAACAATCATTACCAGCGGACGCACAACAATACATCGTCTAGCCAGAACTCACCCCAGCACATGCACAATACTATCGCCAAAGCTATCCACATTTCCGAGTAATACCTGTCAGCGCAACCAGGGTTAGAACCAAAGGGGGAAAGCAAGAGCTAGTCATGGAGAAACGGAGCAGAAACTGAGAGGACGGGATCAGTGAACAGCTGAAGGGTTGCAATGAAACAACTGCAAACGGAGCAATTTAGAAATTCGCTACCATGCAATGTCAAAACAAAATGTCCGCCTTGGCCATGCAATGTCAAAAGGTTTCAGGCATGCATGGTATGGGCACAGGGTACATACCTGCGTCGAGGCGTTGACCAGGAGAACATGCGAATCAGACGCGCTGGATGACTAGTTGAGCATCTGGCGCCAACTGGGGACCACGTGTGTAGGCGCCAGTAACAGCGTCACGGATAACAAGGTCGCCTCTAAAAAAATTACTGCTTTTGCTTCACTGCTACTGCTTTGATGAGGCGAGCGGAGCGGGAAGATGCAGTTTCGCTTAATCGGAACCACTTGCTCAAAGCTGGGAGAGATGGTAAGGAGCGGAAGGAAGGCATGGGGATGGTGAGGTACGGAATTGTAGCAGTGGGGTAACCATGAGTGGTAAGAGCTGTTACATGTAAAACTTCAGAGCATTCTGAAATGAAAATTGCTAATAATCATGTTTTACTGCCGGGATCTGTTGCGGATTAAGACGTAGACAGACGAGACCCGCGCAGCAAAAGTCCCTTGAGGCGAAACGTGTGCTACGAAGAACTCACTTGGTGAGAAGGCATAGAGTGAGTCCAGACGAACGCCTCCTCGAAAGGAAGGGTGGGAGGAGGAGGAGTTGATGGCGGTGGAAGGGGGAGGGTGGTGGTACACATTGACGTACACCCAACTCTCCTTGCGTCCCAGTTGTTCCCTTAGACTGCACATGTGGAAAGTGGACAGACAACGAACAAGACATTACGTGGCTGACACGCAGTCGAGTCGAACCTGCTCAAGGCACTACCTTTATATAAGATTCGAGAAACAAAGTCCAACATTGCGTGGCTTACGGCAATCATGCTACACCTGTTCCTTACCTGTACACGTGCTCGTTTTCTAGAGCCGCCTTCCAACGACGGCTGACGCATTTTAAGACGCCGTAGCACCCACGAGGCAGCATCGCCAAGCACATTAACGTAGCGTCGTCAGGAATACCGGGAATAAGAAACGAAGCGTCCGAACTCATGGTCACACCTGCTTCTAATCGGAGGTTCTACCTAAATACGGACAGCAAGACTTTCGGACAAGGTTCTACCTGAGTACGGACAGCAAGACTCACGGACACAGAAAATGCAATGACGGCCACAATACTAGGATCAGTCTGTGCAGGTTGCAACGAAGGTCGTTCGGAACAATTTATGCTGCTAGACGATAAGATATCAATCGCGGACAAATGCATTCAATTGACCATCAACATTGCCACTGTGCATTGGCTCTGCTGCCGATCTATCAAGAAGCTACGCATGCGGGACCTTGCTCTGCACGCATTTTGAGAATAGCCCACGAATGTGACTGATGAAAAGCGCGAGGGAATCTGCAGCACATGGAACTCGTGGGGAGCAGCACACCACAGGACCTGGAGCACCGCAGCATGATACATGTTGCACTCGTTTCGATGTATAATCTTTGCAAACGTTTCCAGCCGTTATGTTTTTTTCAAGTCAATGAATCCCCAGAATCAAAGGGGCTATGAAATCCTTAGCACCAGGGTGTCTTAGAAGTCCACCTTTGTAAACATAGCGCACAATAATATATTCGTTGGGACTTGTTTTCTGCTCTACTTTGCATACGGACTCTGGATGCTGCGCACTGTAGCTTTCTAGACAACCCTACAACTAGGTTTCAGTCCAAGGGCATGGTTACCCATTGTGTGGCCTAGTTTCACAACAGCTGTGCTAAAAACTCTTGATAAGGATGTCGTAATTGCAGACGCGTTTAATGATAAGTGTTGAACTGTCAGAATCGAAAGTGTTGGTTTCATTGTGTTAGAATAGTAGCCTAAGTAGACTAGGGTTTTGGGGTAAGAGAGTAGCGAGAGAAACGGAAGAGAGTGCTTACACTAATGAGCAAGATACATGATATAGTTCAAGGGAAGGTGAGCACAGTGGTGCACCACCAAATAGTTAAGAACAATAACTGCAGTAACTACAGCACGCAGGATATATATTAAACATAACTTTGACACATTGATGCAGGTTGGGGTACATATAACAAACCCTAACATTTGTACCCCCTAAGACAAACCTCACTACAGGCTACAACATTTGACACACCCCCATAGCCTAAGTGAGGGGTGTCACACAAAACCAAAGGTGTACGGTCTCAAGACCAGTCTTAAAGAAACAAAGCCCAGGGTGGATCACAACGTCACCACACACTCTGAGCACAGGCAATAGAGGCCACAAGGCCAGTCCAAGAGTTCACAGAGGTATATGGCAAGAGTACAAGCAAAGCAAACAGTAAACTCAAGCCTACACACGACTAGAACCTGTGTCAACAAGGCCTAACTGCACACAGCACCTCTGGTGGTCACAAGGCAGAAGCGCCTTGGTGAAGATGTCTGCAGTGTTGGCCTCAGACTCCACAAACTCGAAGCGAGCATGTCCACGTCTCTGCAACTCTCGCAGAAGAAAGTACCTGACGTTAATGTGCTTCACTCTGCTCTCCAGTCGCGGCTCTCGACAGAGGAGAATCGACGCCTTGTTGTCAGTGAACAAGGTCGGTGCAGAGCTCGGCCGCTCACCAAGGTCGGCGAGCAAGAAAGTCAACCAACGCAGCTCCTGTGCCGCCATGGCACCAGCGTAGATCTCAGCCTCAGCGGTAGAGGTCGAGACCGAGGAGGAACGCGTGGACCTCCAAGAAACAGCTCCAGAACCCAGACTGAAGCAGTACCCCTGAGTAGACCTGAGAGTCTCAGCGTCGTCAGCGTAAGAAGAGTCATAGTGACCAGTAAGTACGACAGACTGCTGCCCTCCAAGAACCAGCCCCACGCCTGATGTCATCGCTAGGTACTTCGCCACCCTCACAGCTGCCGTCCAGTGAACAGGACGGTGTCTTCGTGGTGCAACAAAGCGAGCAAGGATGCTGAGAGGGAAGGCGAGGTCCGGGCGAGTACAGGTCATCAGGTACATGAGGCAGCCCACCAGCTCTGCGTAGGGACCACTAGGCTCAAACGGCTCGTCAGGAACCAGTGAGTCTGTGGTCAACAACAAGAGGTGTGCGCTGTACTGTGGAGTGCTGAAGCCCAAACCGCTGAAGGACCTGCTGCACCATGTGTGACTGTGAGAGTGTAATGGTGCGAGCAGCTCTGTCCCTGGTGATCTGCAGACCAAGGTAGTGGCGCAGCTCACCTAGGTCAGTGCACGTGTGTCTCTTCTGCAGTTCGGACTTCACGTCTGCCAAGGCAACCCTGTCAGCAGTAGTGAAAACTAGGTCGTCGACGTAGACAAGAACAAAGAACGGTGTGGAACCACGACGAACGAACAGTGACGGGTCGGCAGAAGACGGTTGGAAACCGAGGTCAGACAAGGTAGAATGAAGGGTGTTGTGCCACTCACGAGGAGCCTGACGGAGACCGTAGACCGGTCGCCTCAGTCTCCACTGGGTCCCAGGAGGGAAAGTGCGTGGAAGGCTGAGGGACGATGCAGCCAGACCTCCTCGTGTAGGCTACCCTGAAGAAAAGCAGTAGAGAAGTCGAGAGAGTGTAACTCGTAGTCTCTCTGTGCTGCTACGTGCAGTAACACCCGAAGAGTGGTCATCTTCGGGGTAGGCGCGAAGGTCTGAAAGAAGTCAACTCCCTCGCGCTGACTGAAACCTCTAGCCACGTAACGCGCCTTGAAGACCGGAGGAGATCCCGGTGGCCGCTTCACCCTGTAGATCCACATGCCATCGACTACGTTCGCCCCAAGGGGGGGAACCTCGTCGACGTAGGTGCATGCGGATCTGTAGGAGGCCACCTCTGCGCGCATGGCAGCTCTCCACTGAGAGGCCCAAGGCCCTGACACTGCCTTAGCGTAAGTGCGAGGAGTCGGTATGTCAAGGGCGTCGGGGTCTCCCTCAGGGGAGAGGAGCATGGCACAGAGATGAGTGCCAGGAACTCTAACTCAAATTGCCTGTCCTCTAGGGCGCCATAGCCAAGGGAAGACACACCCCCGACGGCCAGAGGACTGGTAGGAGGAGCAGCCACAAGACTGGTGGCGTAATCAAGGTGGCGAGTAGAGGCAAACTCAGTCACTGCGGCAGTAAGAGCGGAGACAGAGGACAGAGAGGCACGAGGGTGGGTAACAAGAGAGGCGAGAACACGAGAGAGAACAGGACGGTACGTGCGGTAGTAGTCAGTGACAGGAGTAGAGAGGGAAGCAGTGAGGGCCAGGGCTCTCGTTATCAGACCAAATTGGTCTGATGGTCTGAAAATCAGACCTGATATTTTCGTTTCATCTGATTCGTAAGACTAACGATTTTATTTCATCTGATCCATAAGACGGGCGTTTTTATTTCGTCTGAAAAAAAGGACCACGTATTATAATCCGTATGATATTTCAGACATCGAGTATGTTTCCATCTGATTGCAAAAGTACCGTTGTAGCCCCCTTCCCCCCCCTCCCCCTCCTCCCCTTTCTCCTTCTCCCTTGTTCCCTCTTGCGTCTCTCCGGCCCAGCACCCCCAATAAGTCCCTCGCGACCAGCCACCACCCCGATCCTCGCTCCTCTACCCAGACCTGGTTCATCACCCCATTTCGTAACATTCCGAGTCCCCTCCACCTCTCCCAGCCCAGCCCCCTTCCCATCAAGAACTTCCGCACCCCTCTTCCCTCGCGGTTCACAAATGCAACAGTACTAGTGTCTTGTTAGCTCAATCAGACCATGCAAAAAAAAATCGTCTCAAAATTCAGACATAGCTTAAACATTCGTCTGAAAAATCAGACAATTTTTTTTTGCCAGTCTGACCGTCAAACGAAACGATTTTTGGGGGGGGGGAGGTTCAGACGGGCCTAAATCCTAGCAAGGGCCCTGATGAGGGCCGACCCAGGGGGAGAAGGAAGCACAGACGGAGAGGAACGAGGCGGACTAGGACGGAACAGGGCAGTGCGAGGGAAGAGCACAGGGGAGAGCACGAGAGGGCCAAGCGTGGGAAGGAGGAGGAGACGACCGAGGGGGAGAACGAGGGAAAACAGCCGGGGAGGAGTCAGGAGGAGGAAACGTGGGACCATAGACAAGAGGAGAGGGGGAAGAGGAAGGAGAGCGAGAGGGAAGACCGAGGGTCCGAAGACCAGAGACAGGAGGAGGAGGCGACTGCTGCTGCTGCTCCAGCAACGGCGGCTGCTGCTGCTGCTACTGCTGCTCCTACGGCTGCCGATGCTGCTGCTGCTGCTGCTGCTGCTGCTGCTGCTGCTGCTGCTGCTGCTGCTGCTGCTCGAGCCACTGCAACTCGCGCTCCTCGCTCTCCAACTCCAGCTGCTCCTCACGGGCACGGCGAACACGAGCCTGGTGCCGGGTCAGGTAGGGGTTGGGAGGAGGAGTAGTGTTCGCGGCCGCAGCAGCCTCAGGACCGCCCTCCAGAGCACCAGGCGCACCACCCCCAGAGTCAGCACCAGTAACAGTAACACGGCCAGGATCACTAGAACCCGCTCCCGCACCCCCAGACGCAGCACCCCCAGATGTAGCACCAGCTCTCGGAAGAGTAGAGTCGCCCGCAACTACGGGCTCAACCTCAACTCCAGCACCCCCAGAACCAGGACTCAGCACAGGTCCGCTCTGTGCTCCCACTCCAACGCCTCTAGAGCCAGCACCTGCAGGGTCCCCTCCACGAACACCGGCTCCCGCAGGGTCTGCAGTAGGCTGTGAGGAGGACTGCGGGGAAGGAGGCTGCACCTGAGGGGCTACCGAGGGGGGAGGGGTAGCGTGGGACACACCTGACGGGGCTGGACCAGGGGGGGGAGGCTGTACCGGGGGAGCAGGAGGTGGGGCGGAAGTGAGGAAAAGAGGGGGAGGAGGAACCGAGAGACCTCGACAGGGTACCTGACGTAGTAAGGGGAGGAACCGAGAGGGGAGTCAAAGAACCGGTGAGAGGGAGGGTGGTAAAAGGTGAAGTCAGAGGAGTCCTCAGGGAAACCAAGGAAGACACAGGGAACGGCGCGAGGCGAGAGCTTGTCCGCGGAGGTGTCGCGAACAAGCGCCAAGTAACCCC